TGTATATATATATATATATATATATATATATATATATATATATATATATTTCAAGACTTGCCTTTTTAATGGACAAATGTTCTCTAAAGAATAAAAATATTAAGGTTATAGGAAGTTTATTTCAAATGATTCTTAATTTTTAGAATATTTTGCAATCAAGATTTTTTAATTCAAAAGAAAAATCTTTGGATTTCCAAGAGCTGGTACTCACTTGGTTGACAATAGGTTTGCTATTTTCAACATTTTCACATGTGTACAAAACATACTTCGATTGGTGACCTCACTATCCCCCTCCAAAAGCATACAGAAAAATGTATTTCACAAAAACTGTTTTATTATGATTAGTAAGTAATTAAAAGTAAAGTTGAGCCATAAAACCCATGTGCATACATGGACATTTACTAATGTAAATTTATAGTCATTGCACTGAGGCAGCTGTGGCTGAGTGGTTAGAGCGGTAATCTCAGTGGGAGAGTTGGAGGTTCGATTCCACCAGCGTTCATATGTTGGAGTGTCCCTGGGCAAGACACTGACCCTCATAGCCTCGGATGTGTGTCCCATCAGTGTATGAATGTGATAAAGCACTGATTAGTCTCTTTGAAATGATTTGTTCCATTAGCTTTGTAAAGATGTAGTAGAGTACTGTATGAATGTGTGTGTGGATGGATAAATGAGGGCACAGCTTGTGTTTTAAAGCACTTTGAGTATCTTGATTAGATGGAAAGGTGCTATATAAGTACAGTCCATTTACACATTTGTGCCTCAAAATCGTTTAAAAGTACAGATTAAAAGTAAATAAAGAAGTCCTCTCTTTACAGGTTAGGGTCAGTGTTATCGTTTTTCATAAGTGGGTAAAAAACTTAAGTTTTAAAGGCACGGATAAAACAAACTCCGTCTTCACAAATCGAAAACAACATTTAAGACTTTTATTTAATATTCTTTTAGTCATTGGAAATATTGAACTTAATCCTGGTCCGGATAAAAATGTTTTTATGTCTATTTTTCTGTACTTTCTGAGTTTTTATACACATGTTTTTAATAATAATTTGGCCCTGGGCTTGCACACAGGTGTATTTCATGTAAATCCAACTCGACTACAGTCTACACAACCACTAACATTATATTCTGAAAAGGTTACACAAGCTGCTGTTATCACAGGTTTGAACTGTACATCAGTAAAAAAGTGTAAGAAATCATCCTGTTTAAAGAAAAATCCAGGAACGTTAAACCAGCTTGGTAAAACTAGAGGTTTCAAAATCTGTCATCTTAACATGAGAAGTCTTGTACCAAAACTAGATGAATTTAAAGTAATACTTGCTCAAACAAAAGCACAGGTTATGGCAATATCAGAAACATGGCTAACTCCTGTTATACCAGATTCTTTTCTTTCAATCGAGGATTACTTGTTATACCGTAGAGACCGCCAGGATAAGACTGGAGGTGGTGTTGCAGTCTATGTACATAAAAAATATCTACACTCCATAACAGAACTACAAACTGAATCAGAATCTCTGCAACTAGAAATTAAACTTACAAATTTTCTTTCAGTTACGGTTGTTGTTACATACAAGCCCCCAAATATTAACTCAGCTACATATCTAGCGCAGCTTACTGATGTCATAAAAGGTATCAAATCCAAGGAGCTTGTGATTCTTGGGGATATAAATATGAATTGGGCAGATAAAGCTTCCCAGTCCCTAAAAACCATGGCCACAAAGCTGGGGCTCCAACAACTAATTAAGGCGCCGACTAGATTTGGTAAAACATGCAACTCCATTTTAGATCTTATATTTATAAATCGTCCTTCCATATATGGTATATCTGGAGTCATAAATACGTCAGTTTCAGATCATTCACTAATTTTTGTCATTAGAAAAAATCTTAAGCAAACAACATGTCATGTACATAATTTACATAAAAAGATTCCACACTCAAAACAAACTATGTTTAATGCGGAAATTAAAAATACTGATTGGAGTGAAGACATTCATTTGTCAAATCCTAATCATATTTTAACAAATTTCTACAATAAATTAGAGAATATACAGCAAAAATATATCTCAACTTGTAAAATTCCAATCCGACAAAATAAAATACCATGGTTGAACGCTTCTATAATACACTTCTTAAAGCTGAAAGCCTCCTCTCTGAAAACTTATAGACTATCAAAAACACCTGAAAATAAGTTGCATTTTAATCATTATCGAAATAAATGCACTGCTGAATTACGTAAAGCTAAACAACAGTATTTTGAAAGGCAAATTATTTCAGCTGGAACAAACCCAAAAACATTGTGGCAAACAATTAAATCTATAACAGGAGAAAATAACAACAAAACTTTCAACAAAAATTTACAGATTTCAGTAGAAGGTGTGCTTATTTCTGATCACGAAAAAATTGCTAACCAATTTAATGAATACTTTGTTTCTTCTGTTCGGGATTTGTTATCTGGGCCTTCTAATAGGCCAAAGTCATCTAAATCATGTGACACCTTTTCATTTTCATTTCATTTCATTTATTTTATTCATTTCAAATTAAAACACAGGAAAAAAAACAATTTACAATCCATATGGATAAAAAAAAACAGAAAAGAAAATTTAAAATGAAAGGAAGCAGAAGAAGAAAAAATCTTATAATAACTGCCCCTTCTTAGACAAAAAAATCAATACAAACAATCAATTAAAGCAATAGTCATTCATGAAAATAATTTTTCAACAACTAAACAATCAATGCAATTCATGCATTAGTCAACCATGAAACAAATAATCAACTTATAGTAATAAGTCACCTCTGAGATGTTTTCCTTTTCAGAAATTTCACAGACTGATATATTGGATATATTACAGTCTTTAAAAAGCTCACATGCCTGTGATATATTCAAGTTAAATATGAACTTCCTGAAAACGCATCTCAGCACTTTTGTACCATTATTCCATCACCTGCTTAACTTATGCATTACACAGTCCATTTTTCCCGTTGCCTGGAAGTCTGCACAGATTACTCCTATTTTCAAATCTGGCGATCCAACTGATGTTTCAAATTATCGACCAATTTCAGTTCTTCCAACTTTTTCCAAGTTACTTGAAAAAACACTATTTAACCAATTACTTCACCATTTAGAGGTTAATAATATGTTAAGTGATAACCAACATGGTTTTCGTGCTTCTCGATCAACCATGTCAACATTAATATTATTTACTGAACAAATACGTGCTGCTCTGAATAAAGGTCAAATAACTGGTTCTGTATACATCGATTTCCGTAAAGCCTTCGATACAGTCGATCATTATACTCTCTTACAAAAATTGACTTCTTTTCAACTTTCTTCTTCTGCAATACAAATGTTTTCTTCCTATTTAACTGACAGGTGTCAGGTAGTGAAACGTGGAAGTTGTATATCCCGATCACTGCCATGCTCTGTGGGAGTCCCGCAGGGTAGTATACTGGGACCATTGCTTTTTTTACTTTACATAAATGACCTTCCAAAAGTACTTAATCACTCTAATATTTTAATGTACGCTGATGATACTGTTCTTTTCCTGTCTGGTTCAAATACTGATTCTATCAACAGTCGGTTACATGCAGATCTTCAGCAATTTCATTTCTGGCTACAAGAAAATCGCTTAACGATTAATGTAAAAAAAACCGTATGCATGTATTTTTCCTCACCTAGGAAACATTTTACTATATCAAATCCTCTTACTTTTTTAAACAAACCTCTTTCTATTGTCACTACTTATAAATATCTGGGAGTTATTTTGGATTCTCATTTAACTTATCATGATCATGTGCAATCCTTATGTACTAAGCTGAAACAAAAAATGTATGTTTACTCCAAAATTAGATCAAATCTGACATCTTCTGTTTCCAACACTTATCTTCATGCCATAATACTTTCAACTCTGTCGTACTGTTTACCTGTCTGGTCTCTCACTACTAATGAAATATTAAAACCCATCGCTAGGCTCTACAACAGGGCCTACAAAATCCACAACAAACTCCCTGGTTGGACTCATCACTGTACAGCTCTTTCTTCTTCAAATGCTTTAACTTTTCAAAATTATGTCCTACACAGCAGTATTAAGTTGTATTTCCAGGTTTTTTATGGTATTAATAATGTAGCTCTCTCTGCTTTGATCCCTAAATCCAAGTGTGGAAATGGTTGCTCAACTAGAGCTGCTACAAGCGGACAATTGCCACTACCAGCCTTTAAAAACTGTTATGGACAGAGATCGTTTTTCTATGTTTACACCAAAGCATGGAATGACACTCCACAACATGTGAAATCCATCTCAACATTGGCACTTTTTAAGAAGACTCATGTGCGTCATCTGTTAGACTCCTTCTTTTGCAATCACTGTTAGGTGTCTGCCGTGTAAATGCTGCTGTTCTTGTGTTTTGTAATGTGATGTGTCTGTATGTCTATTGACGAGGTGTGATGCTGAATATCTGTGTGCTTAATTTATGTT